CCGACACAACGTAGGCTGATTTTTTGAAGGGGTACTACAGTATTTCGGCTGGCCAAACCAGCCTTCTTCAGGTCCGAGTCAGTTTTTTTCCGTGTTTTTATGTAGCCGATACTTTCAATACTGTCAATTAGTTTTACGTATTTCCGGTATTACGAAAATATCGGCTAAATAAAAACACGTCCCAATGTAAAATTCTCATTGTACCTGAAGAGGGCTGGTTTGGCCACCTTCAAAAAATAATCCTACGTTGTGTCGGTTTTTGCTTTTGTATTCTTCTTTTTGGTAGCCTGGGCTCTGGGAACGAGAAGCTACAGTCACCGGTTTGTTCAAGAACGGTAATGCGACTTAATTCCCTATTTTAACTTTTGGTGGTAGCAACGCCGTATTCTTGGGATTAGCTTCACGCACGAAGTAGTCTTTGAAGATCACCAAACATTTCATGTTGCTGCGGGGTGCTCTTCGGAAATTTTGAAAAGAATCCCTAACAGGTACCAAGATCGTGTTTTGTGGGCGTGGATTGAAATACTTTTTACCCCTAAGAGGCCCCAATTCTAAAACCAAACATTATCTCCTGTCTTATTTCTTCTGACTCAATACCCTAAAAGGTACCGCAAAAGCTCCCGCTGTGGACCTTTCGCGGCTGAACACCCCTAGAGGCACCAAAACCGCGTCATTAACCCCTAAAAGGTACGACGAGCACCACCGTCCTTTTACTATGGGAGTCCCTTCACCGGAAACAAAAAAAAAATACTCCTGCATTGCATGCTATTCCTTCAGTAGTAACCGAACGCAACCTCGTTCTCTACCCTGGAGACTGCTGTTCTCGTGCCTAATAGATTTTTGCAGATTCCGCAAAAATGATTCAAGGGAGGCGCGGGAAAATTAAAGTTTGTCCCTACTGAGCCCAGTAGGGAGTGGAATTTGTAACTTACTGCGCGTTGTGGATNCGGTAATGCGACTTAATTCCCTATTTTAACTTTTGGTGGTAGCAACGCCGTATTCTTGGGATTAGCTTCACGCACGAAGTAGTCTTTGAAGATCACCAAACATTTCATGTTGCTGCGGGGGGTGCTCTTTGGAAATTTTGAAAAGCATCCCTAAGAGGCACCAAGATTTTGTTTTGTGGGCGTGGATTGAAATACTTTTTACCCCTAAGAGGCACCAATTCTAAAACCAAACATTATCTCCTGTCTTATTTCTTTTGACTCAATACCCTAAAAGGTATCGCAAAAGCTCCCGCTGTGGACCTTTCGCGGCTGAACACTCCTAGAGGTACCAAAACCGCGTCATTAACCCCTAAAAGGTACGACGAGCACCCCGTTCTTTTAATATGGGAGTCCCTTCACCGGGAACAAAATACTCCTGCATTGCGGGCTATTCCTTCAGTAGTAACCGAACGCAACCTCGTTCTCTACCCTGGAGACTGCTGTTCTCGTGCCTA